GAATTTAGCGGCCATTATGGAATTTTTATAGGTGGCTCCATATCTGAAAAATATCTTAGCATCATAACTAACGCTGTGCAGTTTCATGCTTTTCCCATAAAGTGATCAATTATACCAATATATTGTACTTAGTCGCTGGACTACTTCATCTGTCATTGTGAAGAGCATTCGACCAAGTAAATCACGAATTTTAACCTCTCATAAAATATATATATATCTCCTCCAAATCAAAATAGCTGTGATAATAAAATTGCATTAGAATAATGCTTTAATCTCAAATATTTAGACCTTTATATAAATGTTATAGAATACTGTTCTCATAATTACAATCCATCTGAAGTCTCATATCAAACATAAATAATGACTAATTGTATCCCTATTACAATAGATACTGGAGAATTTACCCTTCTTACAAAGTATCTACTAGACAATATGTGTTTGGTGTCATTAAAGATCAGCTGATTTTGTACAAGAAACTGTCAAAATGCAAGAATTATTGAGCATTTCTCCTGTTTCGAACTAAGTACCAATACAACTGATATGAGAAGACACTAAACATATATCGTCTTTATCGTTCAATATTTTTTGGAATATTGTTGCTTTTAAGCATATGAGTAAACTCATTTTCATTGCAACTGTTTTTGTTTCAAAAAATATTTCCTTTTTGTCTAGTTCCCTCCATTGAGCCTACACATATTACATAATATGTTTACAAAATTAATGTAAAACTGAGACAATCAGTTGATGAGCAGTATGCAGGAAAAAATAAATCTCTCATGCACAGGTAATAATCACCTAAAAATACATGTAAAAAAAATTGCTTCCAGAATACAATTATCTTTTGTCTTTTGTTACTTTGCAATCAATTGTAGTTATAATAAATTAACTAACAATAACAAAACATTGTCTGACCTTCCCCCCCCCCCCTCCACAGCTTCAGTACCGTAAAAATGGCAAGAATTATTTGGAGTAAGCAGAGCTTAAAACAATAAATTTATAGTGTAAAATTATAGCAGAGCAACATATGTTGGGTTGAATCCCCAATTGATGGTTAAAATAAATCATGTACTTTGAATTAATTGATCATGTCGATGAAATGTAACTCTATACCAGATTCTGCTTAAATATTCAATAAGCAAGTGATCAATGAAAATAATGACAATAAATGCTGTCCTAAAATTGTTTGTGTTTTAAGTACATGCAACAATGTTTATATCACCCATTATTAAAAAAAATTCTAACAGCTGGTTCCATTAAATGTGGCTTTATGTGCTAGCTCTAGATTGGAGAACATTGAAAAATGGAAACAATTTTACTTTAAAAATAAACACATTTAGCACCATATGACTTGGAAATTATCAAACAAATAGTCTTTAACATAAAGAATATCTGTAAAAATAAAGAGAAAACTTTATATATATATACATTACAACAATTGATCTCATTAATAATTTCTTCCACAGAAAAAAAATGGTTTGGAAAATTCTGAAATACAATAAGAAAGGTGATAGTTTCAATAAAATTTTAAAGCTTCATTTTAAGGTTAACAAAAAACTCTTATCTAATTTGGGCAACTTTTGATATGTAATGTCATCGACTTCACAGGTTAACAGCTGCAACAAAAAAATCAACAACAGAGCACTGTAATGGAAATATCCTTGGTTTTATGTAAATATAAATTGTTATTCAATGTATGTTGTATAAAACTAAATTCTAATAAAAATATGTTTATATATATCATACATTATTTGAAGATTCAATAACAACAAGAAATGAATGTAACAGGATGCTGTTACGAAGTCTCCCAAACGAAGCTCCCATAATTCGTAATTCCCAGGGTCGCCTGACATTGGGCAACATCCATTGAAAATTGGTTTGGTCCAGTAAAGTTATGTGCATTAGTGATGCCTGGGGACTAACCTTGTATATCATTCAAATCATCTTGGCATGACAAACAAGAATATATATGGTTTAGGGGTGGGGATCTCAACCATTTACAAGATACTAGAATATTGGGGGTGGGGAGGAACCCCTGGGGACTGGCCCTATACGTCATTCAAATGTTCATTACATGACGAACAGGAATATATATGGTTTAGGGGTGGCAATCTCAACCATTTACAAGATATTAGAACATTGGGGGTGGGGGGAACCCCTGGGGACTGACCGTATACGTCATTCAAATGTTCGAGACATGACAAATAGGAATATATATGGTTTAGGGGTGGGGATCTCGACCATTTACAAGATATTAGAACTTTCTCAAATGACAGGGGGTCGGGATGACCCCTGGGGACTAACCCTGTCTATCATTCAAACCATCTTCGCATGACAAACCAGAATATATATGGTTTAGGGGTGGGGATCTTGACCACTTAGAAGATATTAGAACTTTCTTAAATGGCAGGGGGTGGGGGTGACCCCTGGAGACTAACCCTGTATTTCATTTGATGTGCTTTATCATGACAAACCAGAATATATATGGTTTAGGGGTGGGGATCTTGACAACTTAGAAGATATTAGAACTTTCTTAAATGGCAAGGGGTGGGGGTAACCGCTGGGGACTAACCCTGTATAACATTTGATGTGCTTTATCATGACAAACCAGAATATATATGGTTTAGGGGTGGGGATCTCGACCATTTACAAGATATTAGAACTTTCTCAAATGGCAGGGGGTAGGGATGACCCCTGGGGACTTACCCTGTATATCATTCAAACCATCTCAGCATGACAAACCAGAATATATATGGTTTAGGGGTGGGGATCTTGACCACTTAGAAGATATTAGAACTTTCTTAAATGGCAGGGGGTGGGGGTGACCCCTGGGGACTTACCCTGTATAACATTTGATGTGCTTTATCATGACAAACCAGAATATATATGGTTTAGGGGTGGGGATCTCGACCATTTACAAGATATTAGAACTTTCTCAAATGGCAAGGGGTGGGGGTGACCGCTGGGGACTAACCCTGTATAACATTTGATGTGCTTTATCATGACAAACCAGAATATATATGGTTTAGGGGTGGGGATCTCGACCATTTACAAGATATTAGAACTTTCTCAAATGGCAGGGGGTCGGGATGACCCCTGGGGACTTACCCTGTCTATCATTCAAACCATCTTCGCATGACAAACCAGAATATATATGGTTTAGGGGTGGGGATCTTGACCACTTAGAAGATATTAGAACTTTCTTAAATGGCAGGGGGTGGGGGTGACCCCTGGAGACTAACCCTGTATTTCATTTGATGTGCTTTATCATGACAAACCAGAATATATATGGTTTAGGGGTGGGGATCTTGACAACTTAGAAGATATTAGAACTTTCTTAAATGGCAAGGGGTGGGGGTAACCGCTGGGGACTAACCCTGTATAACATTTGATGTGCTTTATCATGACAAACCAGAATATATATGGTTTAGGGGTGGGGATCTCGACCATTTACAAGATATTAGAACTTTCTCAAATGGCAGGGGGTAGGGATGACCCCTGGGGACTTACCCTGTATATCATTCAAACCATCTCAGCATGACAAACCAGAATATATATGGTTTAGGGGTGGGGATCTTGACCACTTAGAAGATATTAGAACTTTCTTAAATGGCAGGGGGTGGGGGTGACCCCTGGGGACTTACCCTGTATAACATTTGATGTGCTTTATCATGACAAACCAGAATATATATGGTTTAGGGGTGGGGATCTCGACCATTTACAAGATATTAGAACTTTCTCAAATGGCAAGGGGTGGGGGTGACCGCTGGGGACTAACCCTGTATAACATTTGATGTGCTTTATCATGACAAACCAGAATATATATGGTTTAGGGGTGGGGATCTCGACCATTTACAAGATATTAGAACTTTCTCAAATGGCAGGGGGTCGGGATGACCCCTGGGGACTTACCCTGTATATCATTCAAACCATCTCAGCATGACAAACCAGAATATATATGGTTTAGGGGTGGGGATCTTGACCACTTAGAAGATATTAGAACTTTCTTAAATGGCAGGGGGTGGGGGTGACCCCTGGGGACTTACCCTGTATAACATTTGATGTGCTTTATCATGACAAACCAGAATATATATGGTTTAGGGGTGGGGATCTCGACCATTTACAAGATATTAGAACTTTCTAAAATGGCAGGGGGTCGGGATGACCCCTGGGGACTAACCCTGTATATCATTCAAACCATCTTAGCATGACAAACCAGAATATATATGGTTTAGGGGTGGGGATCTTGACAACTTAGAAGATATTAGAACTTTCTTAAATGGCAGGGGGTGGGGGTGACCCCTGGGGACTAACCCTGTATTACATTTGATGTGCTTTATCATGACAAACCAGAATATATATGGTTTAGGGGTGGGGATCTCGACCATTTACAAGATATTAGAACTTTCTCAAATGACAGGGGGTGGGGATGACCCCTGGGGACTAACCCTGTATATCATTCAAACCATCTTAGCATGACAAACCAGAATATATATGGTTTAGGGGTGGGGATCTTGACCACTTACAAGGTATTAGAACTTTCTCAAATGGCAGGGGGTGGGGATGACCCCTGGGGACTAACCCTGTATTTCATTTAATGGGCTTTATCATTTAGAACATTTTCAATTAAAAAGTTTGTGTCTATCACGAACGGTTTTCAATTTATAATCATTTGAAAATTTAAAAAAATAAAATCCCATAGGGTTCTATAGTAAAACCCTCTTTTCTTTTTGCCCCTCAAAGTACCCCTTTATAAACCCCATTGCAAAAACAAAACCCTGATTGCACCACTAGACATGTTAGTCTAACATATTGTGAAACCCTAAGTTAATCCGACAAGCGGTTTTGGAGAACGGGTGCGGACAAGTTCAAATTTAAAAGCGGCGGAAGAAGAAGAAGAAGAAGAAGAAGAAGAAGAAGAAGAAGAAGAAGAATAATAATAATAATAAGAACTGAGCAAAAACAATAAGTCTTCCCAAACTTCGTTTGGGAGACTTAATTAAATAATGCTGTTTAACAGCATACACAATTATTAAACCTCAATCATGTTTATAAAAATCTGAAATACAGTACAATGGCAAGCAAATTCAAAAACTAAACTGGAATGTAAAAATACTTCAATAAGAGATCTAACAAGGCAAAATAATAAAATACATGTTTCCAATACTTGGGTGGGAAAAAAGTTGGAGGGTTTATATGCTATAAATAAGGATCGGTAAGACGGTTGAACAAACTGCCCAATACCCTGACAACTTTTGGTGGAGAATTTGGTCCCCGAGTAGATAAACCTCAGATATAAGTGCTTATAAACAAACTTTAAGGATATCATACAACGATGAAACCAAAACACCAATATCCTGATTCCCACAGTAGCCTATCCTAGTATCGACCTTGGTTTGCTCAGAAAGGCAAATATGACAGTTTCCATCCTTTGGCACCAAAATTACAAGAAATGTTTCTGGTTATAAATGAAATATGAAGTTCCATATACTGAATGTAACCTTAAAAGTAATTTTGAAATTCCTAATATCATATGACATGTATGACAATTTAGAATTTGCCAATGAAGAATCTAATGCATTCTGGGTAATATTTCAAAAAGTGTACACCAAAACATTGTGAATGGCTTACAGCGTCCAAAATAATGGGAATTCAATCAATGAGGTGACATTATTATCCTTTTTGGGGTACGAACAATTAAACTACATACAATCCTTTAGATTCTGAAATAGCCTATTGGATACCTACACTTGGTATGTAAAAATTCAAAAGTTGATGCTTTCAAATGCAGCCAACTCAATATGTTTATAGAAATAAGAAGATGTGGTATGAGTGCCAATGAGACAACTTTCCGTCCAAGTCACAATATGTAAAAAGTAAACAATTATAGGTCAAAGTACGGCCTTCAACACTTAGCCTTGGCTCAGACTGAACACCAAGCTATAAAAGGCCCCAAAATGACTAGTGTAAAACAATTCAAACAGGAAAACCAACGGTCTAATCCATATAAAAAACGAGTTACAATTTGTTTTAATTATAGCTTTTAATAAAATGAATTTGATGACAAGAAATTCATATAGGGGTTCAAAGTTTGGGGAATGAGAAAAAAAAATCCTCAAACAATTCAATAATAGCAGGTGCACAACATCAAAATATGTGCAATCTTCCTGTGAAGTTTCAAGGATTTGGGTTGAAAACTATAGGAGGAGTTGATTACACATTACTTGTACCATCTTTCAAAAATTTGCTGGAAAATGACTAAGCTCCCAAGTTTTGAAAAATGAGAAAAAAACCATCAAACAATTCAATAATAGCAGATACACAACATCAACATATGTGCAATCTTACTGTGAACTTTCAAGGATCTGAGTTGAAAACTATAGGAGTTGATTACACGAATGTTGTACCCGTTTTTGTAAATTTTGTTGAAAAATGACTATGTTCTCAAGTCTGGAAAAATGAGAAAAAATTGATTACACAAACTAAGTACCCATTTTTCATAAATTTTGCTGGTTTACAATAGTTGTAATATCAAGACATTGGAGCCTCCCTGATAGTTGTGTTGAGATACTTTCAAAGATTTAAAGGGAAGGAAAAAAATGAACTTATCTCTTCCACAAATGACAGTATACATTAGGTTTGATAACAAAATAAGCTAGTACTTAGATACAACACTTATCTATTATTTGCATGAAGTGCAAGACATAAACAACAAAATAAATATAACAATGATTTAAATCTAAACATCTGATACTTGTCCTGATACTTCTTTTGCTACAATGTGAAATCCACCAGATTTCCGAGACAGTAGTGCTAGTACAATACCACAGGTTTCCATAGTTATGCAAACAGGAAGTAACAAAATCGGTGATATACAGAGAAATAAAAATCTAACTAAACCTAAACGTCTGTAGTTAAAAGATTTTGTTGAACCAAATATAAATAGAAATAGCATGACCCCACCCATGAAACCACATAAAATATTGACTGCTTGTGGCATGGGAAGTGGACAAAGTGGCACCAATACAATGTTTGGTACTGTAAATGGCATTGACAGCCAACCAAGTACCATGAAAGATATGCCAAATTTGTACTTAAGAGGTATGGTAGGGCATAATAAAGTCATTATGATTCCCTGAACCCAACGTTTTCTTTGTCGAATATAATCCATCGGTGAAAATGTACTTTTCTCCCACATTTCTCCTTCAATGAACCCAAACTGATAACCACTCTTCCAAGCTGTCAATGCAAAGAAACAATCTTCTGCAATACTTCCATCTATTCCAAAATCAAATGTAACTTTTCTTTCAACTCCTGCATTTACAACTACAAAACTTCCCTTCCAGCTAAAAAGAGGTTTATGTAGATAATTTAAGCTAAATCTTAAAATTCCAAAGTCGATTCCAACTCGCACTAAATCTGCTATGGTTGTTATCCAACTTATAATTTCTTCATTGGCATAAGTGATGACTCCCTGACCTAGCTGGTATTTATCTTCATGAATAAAATTAATGATCCCTATGACAGATGATTCGGTTAACAAAGTCTCTTCATCCAGATGAACTATCCAATCATTATTTGTTAACATGTTGACTCCATCTTCTAAACAATATTGTAAAGCCCTAGCTTTGTAAAGAGTACCATTGGCAGTAGTGTATGTGGACGGCACAACAAGTTCACGAGCACGTGTACTTTTCTGCATGTCAATTGATCGGTCGGTTACAACTTCGAATATATAATTTTCCAAACCAACCAATGAACACATTTCAATATTTCTACTCACATTTCGCTTCACTAAATCTGGATATGTACCCCTTGTCACAACACGAAAACAAATGAATGGACCAAATAATGTGGACATTTTTAACTTGGGTTTTGTTGGATGAGTGTTAAACATGACGATTCCTAGAAAGTTGCAGATGGACAAGGGAAGTGGTATTAGTGTCATGTACCTCATTATATACATGATAATTGTTGGCCATTTTCCATAGGCCTCAAAAGGATCAAAAGTATTATCTGGAGAACTCAATCCCCCACTTAGGACACAGAAGATCAACAAAATGGCTAGCAGTAGTAATACTGTAAGGCAATGTCTAACGTTGAGGCTCCTTCTGGTAATCATAGCCATGGTTTTGGACTAAGCGGTTGATCTGAAATTAGAAATGAAAATTGTACTCAATCAAATTTTGTCAACTTTAAAACTTAATGCTGCACTGACATGCAGTCTTCAAAGGTCTAGGAACTGGTTATATAGCAGTGTATATTGTGTGCTAGTTCTTTTAGATATCATGTATTGAATTTGACAGTTTTCATCTGTTGCAAACAAGTGTTGCAAGTTGGGACTTTTGTGACACTGCATTTTAGCCATTCACCATTTTCTGGTAAACTTATGCACTACAGACCTTTCTTTTGATAGCCATTTTTTTTTGCAAGTTTAGAGGCATATGACTGGCTATAACTTAACACTTCTTTCATCTGTCTTTTGTCTATACCACATGTGGAGCAGGATCTGCTTACCCTTCCTGTGCATCTAAAAATAGGCAAAAATTGCTGACAGACTCCTATTGCCCTGTTTTTTGCATAAACTATGAGAGTGAAACTGGAGAAAAAAAATTAGATCAATAAAATAAGATCTACAAAAAAGTCACATGGCCGTAATGGTGAGTCAACCTCTTATAGGGTTCACTTTCCTTGATTTTACGTATACCCTGTTTGCATTTTTCGCAGAAATCAGAAAAACTAAAGTATATAAACAGAAAATGTAAAATGCAAAAATAATCAGCAAATAAGCTAACATGACAAAGTTGTGAGCCAACACCTACAGGAGTTATTGCCCTAGAATGACAATTTTTACCTATTTTTTGTGTTTTTTGCAGAAACCATATCGTAGATACAGAAAACTGTAAAAAGCAAAAATCATCAGAAAAATAAGATCTACAAATAGAATAGAAATATCAAAATGGTAAGGAGAATGATGATTTTTTTTACCAACTTTAGCGTTTTACATTATATCTTAAAAAAATAGATAGACTAAAATTAATTATTATTCTGAACAGCAAAAATGATCAAAACACATGGTCTTCAAATAAGTCACATAAATGAAATCAATGGACTCCTTACAAGAAATTTTGGTCCTGAATCACAATTTTAACCATTTTTTCTCTTTTTTGCTTATTATCTTGAAAACTATAATTGATCTGTAGACAGAAACTTGTCCAGCGAAAATGAACAGCACTACAAGATTTTGGCCCGTAACACAAATATAATGGCATTGTATCAATTTGTATTTAAAATGCCAGGTGAGTATACAGCCACATTAATTATCATTTTGTCACACATATTAAAATTATATATAACTCTGAGATAAAGATTCCTATTCTTTTCTTTGAATAATTTATCACTATGTATAGCGTTGTCCTTGGAGCTATTTACCAACAATCAATCAATCCTTGGAGCGATTAACCAACAATCAATCAATCCTTGGAGCTATTAACCTTTTACACCACATAACACAATTTTTCAATAGTTTTTGGTAAAAAATTTATGTATCAAATTTTATGTGTCATATTGAAATTTATATTAAAATTCTTGAGTCATTATCACATGTCCTTTAAAAACTTAACTCTTGTTTTTTCTTACTGAATCAAATGACAGATACATGTTTTAATACCATTTCAGGGACAAATCTAACATTGTCTTGACTACAAAATGACAAGCAATTTGATACTTAATTAAATTCAACCCTTGATTTCTATATAATGACTTAAATTCATTACTCGTCAAAATCCATAATGGACATCTAATAACAAGGACTTGTGTGCATGTGAGTACTGAGTAGTGTGATGTGTGCAAACAACCCCATTAAAAATTAAGCTTCAGTTATTAATAAAATGCTTCGCTAGGGCGCAGCTTGATACGACCGCAGAGGTCGAACCCTGAACAGTTGGGGCAAGTATGGACACAACATTCAAGCTTGATACAGCTCTGAATTTGGATTGTTATTAAATATTTGACACAGCATAGGTTTCTGACACAGAAAGAATGTGGTCTAAGAACTTGAATTTTTTTAATTTACCTATTATGGTCCAATGTCCAAAATCAAAATACATGGTTAGATTCAGCATATCAAAGAACCCCATATATTCAATTTTTGTTAAAATCAAACAAAGTTTAATTTTGGACCCCAACTTGGACAAACTTGAAAACTGGGCCCATAATCAAAAATCTAAACACATGTTTAGATTCAGCATATCAAAGAACCCCAAGAATTCAATTTTTGCTAAAATCAAACTAAGTTTAATTTTGGACCCTTTGGACCTTAATGTAGACCAATTTAAAAAACGGGACTTAAAATTAAAAATCTAGAATATACAGTTAGATTTGGAATATCAAAGAACCCTAATAATTCAATTTTTGATGAAATCAAAGAAAGTTTAATTTTGGACCCTTTTGACCTCAATATGAACCAATTTGATAGCGGGGCCCACAAATAAAAAATCTAAATTCATGGTTAGATTCAGCATATCAAAGAACCCCATATATTCAATTTTTGTTGAAATAAAAAAAAATTTAATTTTGGACCCCAACTTGGACCAACTTGAAAACTGGGCCCATAACAAAAATCTAAACACATGTTTAGATTCAGCATATCAAAGAACCCCAAGAATTCAATTTTTGTTAAAATCAAACTAAGTTTCATTTTGGACCCTTTGGACCTCAATGAAGACCAATTTAAAAAACGGGACCCAAATTAAAAATCTAAAAACACGGTTATATTTAGCATATCAAAGAACCCCAATAATTCAATTTTTGCTAAAATCAAACAAAGTTTAATTTTGGACCCTTTTGACCTCAATATGAACCAATTTGATAACGGGGTCCACAAATAAAAAATCTAAATACATGGTTAGATTCAGCATATCAAAGAACCTCAAATATTCAATTTTTGTTGAAATCAAAAAAAGTTTAATTTTGGACCCCAATTTGGACCAACTTGAAAACTGGGCCCATAATCAAAAATCTAAATACATGTTTAGATTCAGCATATCAAAGAACCCCATATATTCAATTTTTGTTGAAATCAAACAAAGTTTAGATACTGGACCCTATCTTGGACCAACTTGAAAACTGGGCCCATAATCAAAAATCTAAACACATGTTTAGATTCAGCATATCAAAGAACCCCAAGAATTCAATTTTTGTTAAAATCAAACTTAGTTTAATTTTGGACCCTTTGGACCTTAATGTAGACCAATTTAAAAAATAGGACCCAAAATTAAAAATCTAAATACACAGTTAGATTTGGCATATCAAAGAACCCCAATAATTCAATTTTAGATGAAATCAAACAAAGTTTAATTTTGGACCCTTTTGACCTCAATATGAACCAATTTGATAACGGGGTCCACAAATAAAAAATCTAAATACATGGTTAGATTCAGCATATCAAAGAACCCCACATATTCAATTTTTGTTGAAATCAAACAAAGTTTAATTTTGGACCCCAATTTGGACCAACTTGAAAACTGGGCCAAAAATCAAAATCTAAATACATGTTTAGATTCAGCATATCAAAGAACCTCATATATTCAATTTTTGCTAAAATCAAACAAAGTTTAATTTTGGACCCTTTGGACCTTAATGTAGACCAATTTGAAAACTGGACCCAAAATTAAAAATCTAAATACACTGTTAGATTCGGCATAACAAATAAATAAATGTGATCAAAGATTTTACAAATCTAATGCGCCATACTGTGCAATTAAAGATTACTTCTTGAAATTTTTCAATATTTGAAATTTGAAAAAAAAAAAATATTTGAAGAATAATTCTTTTTAATTTCTGAAATCTGAAATAAGAAAAAATTGACCCCCCACAATTTCTTTTTATCCCCCCCCCTTTTTTCCCCAAAAAAATTCTTTCCCTCAAGATATGGTCATAATCTCAATTCAAATTTCCAATGGAGTTGGCAACCATAATTACCCATTTAAATTTACCATAGTGCTAACTTAATCTATTTTATAATAGAATTAAAAATATAGTGTCAAATCTTTCATATGGATTTTTTTGTAAAAAAAAAAGATGCAACATTTGCAGATATTTTTACTGGTCTTCCTTTATAAATATGCATTTCTTTAAACATAATTTAAAAGCAGTGTAAGGGAAGTAACCAAAACGTTGTATTTGGATTACCTCCCTTACACTGTTTTAAATTATCTTTATTGTTCATTAACCATTACTTTATACATAATTTTAAAGCAGTGTAAGGGAGATAATTTCAATGATGAATTTGATTTATCTCCCTTACACTGCTTTAAATTATGTTTTGTACTAAAGTATTTGTCCATTAACCAGGACAACCTTGTTTTTCCCCCTTTTTTGCCCCTAATTCCTAAACGGTTTGAGCCATAACCCCCCAAAGCAAATCCTAACAATCCCTTTGTGGTATGGAAACTTGTAGTATAATTTCAGAGAGATCCATACACTGTTCCACAGTTATTGTCTGGAAACTAGAAAATGCTTATTTTTGGCCCCTTTTTGGCCCCTAATTCCTTAACTGTTGGTACAATAACCCCCAAAATCAATCCCAACCTTCCTTTTGTGGTATTTAACCTTATGGTCAAATTTCAAAAAGATCCATTCACTTAAACTAAAGTTAGAGTGCGAAAACCAGTGTGTATTCGGACGACGACGCCGGACGACGACGACGACGCCAACGTCATACCAATATACGACCACAAAATTTTTTTGCGGTCGTATAAAAATTAAAACAAATATGTACACTACACAAAAGTTCAAGCTCCTAAGTTGATGTTGGTTCTCCTAGGTAGGTGCTCCTGGAGGGATGCTTTGAAGGCCTCCAGTGATGGTGCAAGTGCAACCGATTCTGACAGAGTGTTCCAGATGGTAACTAAGAGTTTATTTAAAAAATATCTGCATATTTACAAAACATTCAAAATAAATTCATCATAGATACCAGTCTTCAAAAGACTCCACAGTGATGGTCGAATAAAAAGATGAAAAGGCCAAATAAAATACTAAGTTGAATATATTGATAACTCAAAATTCTGATAGATTTTGCCAAATACAGATAATTTAAAATCTATTCCTGGGGTAAAAAATCCATAATATTTTGAAAAATTCAATATTTTGTAAACAGTTAATTTAAAATTATGACCATATCAATGAAAATTCATGTCAACAAAGATATACAAGTTGAGCACATAATGGTACATATGATTAAGGAACCTCATCATATTCAATACAAATTATATTTTCATCATTCTATAAAATAAACCTAAGAAAATACAACATTCCGTAACTTAAACCAGAGAGATAAAACACCCTTCCAAACTAATATTTTTATACATATAAAAAAAAAGAAGATGTGGTATAATTGCCAATGAGACCAAATGACTTCTTTAGAAGTTGACAACTATAGGTCACGGTGCAGTCTTCAACAATGAGCAAAACTCATACCGCATAGGCAATAAAAGGCTCCTATATTTAAGACCACACTCACCCTACTGTGGATGCCTCATTATTCTGCTAATTTCATACCATGAAATTAAATTATCAATAAAATAATTATTTCCTATATGCTTGAATGGAAAATTTGGGCCAAACAACAAATTCAAGTATCCACGAAAATACGAAACTTTCTTCAATACCCACTAAAATAAATGAATCCACAGTCCTATGAATGATTAAAATCACACTTTCCCTGTACTAAAATTTAGACAAGGAAGTGACACATTTCCTGTACTTCTAAACACGTCCTCCTTATATATCCTTAAAATTCACAATCCCATTGATGCTTTTTTTTATACATTCACACTAGATTACTATAAACGTGATAAAGGAGAAGGCATAATACAAGAATTTTATGTTCTTTCTGAAATCGGTGAAATTTGAAAATCATCAGACTAAAACGTTTAGTGAGTAGACTCAGTAACCAAAATTTCCATTTCTTCAAATTTTTTCACAATTTTATGTATTTGAACTTTTACATTGACCTCCAACAAAAGCTTCTGTAGGCAACTACAGGTAATTTCCATTTTTAACTTGTGACAAAATCACTATCTTAAAATACATTTCAAACAGATAGAAAAGATTATGAATTCAGTTTGAATGAATAAATTTTAAAGAAAAGAACAATAGCTAATCTTTATCTACCTGGTACATATGTTATTGGAAGGACAAAGATAAAAAGAAGTTAATGTGAAATCTCCAGGTTTTCATTTCCCCTTATTTTAGGTTAAAAAATTGTATTTCCTACTTGCAATTAATTCTCAAATTGATATGCCAATTAAAATTTACTTTATATTACACAATATACCCATAAATCACATTTAGTTACTTACACTTTAAAAGGGTAAAAAGAAGTTCTAATTGAAGATTACAACAAATTTTGCAATAACAAACATGCAACCCAGGCATGAAATCAAATTGTTCACTGTTGTCATTAATCTCAGTCAGACATGATTGTGCTACCAATATTTGTAGCATAATGTAAATGAACAAGGTGGTTGCTCAAGGACAATACAAAATGAAATAAACATAAAAAAAACCCGAATAATAAATTACAACACTGACAGAAGAATGCAATGATAAATCAAAACAAATTATTTCTGACATTTGTACAGCTAATCACAGCATGATAATTTAAATAAAATGAAATAATTTTCTTACCAACTTATGCTTATTTTGAATAACACAAAAGTACAAATAAATTAAAATTCTGTTAGAATCACTTTTAACATTAAGAAAAAATTAAGCACTTGTGTACACAAGTTATCCCAGGACCTAAACAAATGATTACTGTTGGGATTTAAAACTGTTTATCATATTCAGGAAAATTTCAATACAGATAAATCAAGATGTTGCAAATAATGTATTTTTAATATTTATGGATTTCATTTACATGCACACTTAATAGCCAGGGGTAGTTATCAGTTTATATCTAATATTTTTAGCAACCAGTTAAATTCAATGGATAAAACAGCATGATACTTTGATATTTACCAAGGCCATATATTTTCATGTTAAATTCGTACAGATACAAACAGAATCAATCAGATCCAACAATGATAATTATGTTGCAAAGAAACTTATAATAAAATCATTCTACCACAGCTGTATGTTTTTTTTTATTAAATCTTTCAAAATATTTAACATTTTTGGAAAAAACCCATAAAAACCAAATGGGAATCTTTTATATTCTATGATAAATCATGAAAGTCCATCCTTTTTTCCTGAAATTAGTAAATTTGATGTAGAATCAATTAATTTTTTATTTTGAATGAAGACAGCTGGATGATTGTTTCATTGATTAAAAAATGTTAAAATTTTGCTAGATAATGGGAGATAACTCAGACACTTTAGTTTTTAAAGTTATGTAGCAAGAAAAAGAGTGCAGAGACGTTTTCAGATGTCATGCAACAGGTCATAGCACAACATCTATGTCATCAAGGATAATCAGAAGTTAAAGTTTAACTCACCAAAGCATATATATATTAAATACAAAAGATCTAGAAATCGTTAATGAATAGTTATGGCCATTATGAGAGTCAGTGGAACAACATGAATCATGTTACATGATTTTACATGTTGCAATAATTTAATTTATACATTCTTTTAAATATCAAATTCCACTCTTTTGCAATACTTAGACCCCGTTCACACTAGCATTCTTTTAATCTCTCTAGATTTGAATTGATCTAAATAAAACCAGTTAGCGTCCACATTATCTTTAATCCTAACGATCTTGTAAACACTGTGTATAAATAGAAATATTTAATAAAATTAATGTGTTGATACACACTTTGCCAAAAAATAATGGATGAAGTAATTGTTTCACTTGAATTACAAGTTCAAATGTTGATACTGCTGTTCGTACAGTTTTCGTTAATTTTCAGGACTTTTATGTTGGTCATCCATTTTGTAATAAATTGCATGTGTAATTTTCCACAATACATGCGCACAAACTATTTTCGATTCAATCGTACTAGTTTAGATCAATCTATGCATTCACATTCAAAGTTAGATCGGTTCACTCTAGATCGATTCAAACTAAACTACCTCTTTTGGTGTTTTAGTTTAGACCGATTTCAAGATCGATTCAAAGCATTCACATTGGGCTTAAATCGATCTTAAGTGAACCAATCTATTTTAAATCAATCTAAATGTCCAAGTGTGAACGGGGTCTTATATTCACAATCTTATTTTGTATTTTCAGCTCAAATATATTTAAAACAATAGTTGGAACCCATTGCATTGATTGATTGATTGTTGGTTGCTTAACGTCCAGTGGGGGAACCCATTGCAAACATTTTTTTTAATCGTTTATTTATATATATATCAGATTGATTGCTGCTTGCTTAACGGCCAGATGATAACGGATAATGTTATCTGGACCTTTTCTGATTCTGTGACAGCATAAAACTGGCTTTTCAAGCCTAACAATCCACAGACCAATGAATTTTCCCTTTAGCAATAAAACTGGTCTATTAATATTAATTTAAATTTATAAATCTATGGTAAATGTCAAAATCCTACAAATGACTAGCTGGTAGCACATGTTTCTATAACTGATTACAAATTCAATTATCAAAATCAAGGTTAAATGAAGGTTACATTTATTTTATTTTTAAGTTATAATGTATTAAGTGTCAAATTTAGCAATCACATATGGATGAACAAACATCCAATTGAACATACATTGTATAAAAGTGTTATGATGTCATAATATGCTCAAAATGTAACCACTTGAACTATAATTTTGTAAACTTTAATAAATTATGTCTTTGACATGATCACATCTCTAATTTACACATGAAAAGTAACATATAGTCTTTAAAAATCTGCCCTCATTTTTCAAAAATTGTGGCAAAGTAGGGATTTTCAGTTTTTCCACTTTTATTATAAAATTCTTAAGGGTTCCGCAGAACCCAGTGTGTCGCCTACTTTTGCTGTTAATCGCAGGCTCAACAAAAATGAGGAAAAAAATTAATAAAAATATTCCTCTCTATATATACTATCTTTTGATTGTAAGTAGCTTCTGTCCAAGTTTGGTAAAAATCCAGGATAGTTTATGAATCTAATGAATGTTTTAAAAACTTAAACTGCAGACTGTATGTAATGTTAACTGGAAGAAAAACTAAGTCCATTTATAAGTAAAATACTGAAAAAATGGAACAAAATTTTAACAAAATTTCCTCCTAGATACTAGCTTTTAATCATAAACAAGTTTCTGTCCAAGTTTGGTACAAATCCAAGATAGTTTAAGAAAGTTGTTAAAATTTTAAAAACTTACACCACAGAGTGAATGTAATGTTAACTGGCAGAAAAACTAAGTCCATTTATAAGTAAAATACGGAAAAATGATTTTTTTTTTTTACAAATTTTACTTCTGGATACTATCTTATGATCATAAACAATCTTCTTTCTAAGTTTGGTAGAAATCCAGGATAGTTTAAGAAAGTTATTAAAATTTCAAAAACTTTAACCACAGAGTGAATGTAATGTTTCCTGGCAGAAAAACTAAGTCCATTTATAAGTGAGATACGGAAAAAATGGAATTTTTTTTTTACAAAATTTACTTTTGGATATTATCTTATGATCATAAACAAGCTTCTGTCCAAGTTTGGTAGAAATCCAGGATGGTTTAAGAAAGTTATTAAAATTTCAAAAACTTTAACCACAGAGTGAATATTTGTGGACGCCGCCGCCGACGCCAGACGGAATGTAGGATCGCAATGTCTCGCTTTT